CCCCACACCTCACACCTCACACCCCACACTCACACCCACACCCCACACCCACACCCCACACCAACACCCACACCCACACCCACACACCCACACCCACACCCACACCTCGAATTTTTGTACATTAAAGTTGACTTTAATAATCATTCTGCCATTTCTGGTCCGTTCAGTCTGTTATTATGGAGAAAAATTTCAGTTTCTCGCACATCTTTACTTTTTTTTCTCTCCAAAAGGTTTGCAATAAGCCATTCAGGTTTTTATCATTTTTCTGTGCGAAAATAAATGTAAAATAGCTATTATTTCAAAATATGTTTGCTAATTTCAACATAATCGGAATTAGAAATGTTTTATACATCTTTTATTTCAGTTTTCTAAAATTCATCAAAAGAACTCAGTAGGAGTTTTTTCGTAGTTATATTTTAGAAACCACCGACATCACATATTTTGAAAAAAATTCAAGATTTTAGCATTTGTACATACAAAGATATATACGAAAGAAATCATATGGATAACTTTTTTTGAACATTCGGTATAAATCCAGAATGAGATTCGAAAAACTTTGTCAGAAGATGTCAAGTCTCTAGAGCCTTCCTCTTCATTTTCTTGAAAAGGTTCGAGGCTCCTCAAGCCTAATGACTCCATTCTCTATGACGCTATCTAACATCTGGCTGAACACAATCTTGATCAAAGAGTTTTCGCTTACTAAATACAAACTCAGGATGAGATCTATAAAATTTCTTCAAATATCTGAGCCTCCCCAAGCCTCCCCTTTCTGTTATTAGGGGAGGCTTAAGCCTCCACAAGCCTAAGGGCTCCGCCGCCACTGCCACTCTTCCTGATCGCGCCGTTTCTAAATGTATGTGTATATAAGGGAGAGCAACAAAGAGAATCATCTGTAGAGCGTCGCTATCTTGTTCGTTGTAATAACTGCACAATAGAAAAGTAGAACAAATTTGTCTTACTGCATGTTAATACATGTTTTCAAAATAAATGTAACAATGCGTGTAAACGGATAACAACAAGAAAGAAATCGCGGCTGCCAACTCTATGAAGAAAATAGTTAATTTTAATAAAACAAAATCTACTTGACCGTTTTTTGCTAGTCACTAAATAAAAATTTCACAAGCAAATTTTTCTTGCGATCGCGCACTTCTGTAAATATCTAAAAAGTCAAAATTCTTAGCGTTGAAATGTGTGCTATCTAAAACAGAGACGAATTACGCGTTGGCTAGGAAAGGCATATCTTCTGACGTTTTCATAATACTTTCAGTAGCACACAAAAAAAGTCTGTTGAGTGTCCATTTTTTAGCACTTGTGCAGATTTTAGAATGTCTTTTTTATTTATTGACTATAGAAAGAGCAGCAAAAAAAGTAGTTTGTTATATTAATAGCGATCTTTTTTGAGAAATTCATGTTTGTAATCGTTCTTCTCTCATAGTGAAGTTCGATTGTGAGCGAAGAACGACGTTTTTTTTTGCTTTTTTAGACGCAATTTTAAAGGTTATGTCATAACTTTCAAGACTCGTGGTACACAAATAATTTCCCATTAATGAATGTCAAAATCTATTGAAGGAATCTCTATATAAAAACAAAACAGAAAGTTACCTGTATTTACCCTGCAGATATTATGATTATATGCTGTTTTTTCCTTCAGTTTATACCTGTCATAAACGCGAACGGCAAGAAGTAATCATGCAGAGCGAAAGAAAAATAATGAGCCAAATTTTTAAATAATTTATATACAGATGCAATATAATTATATTCACTGAATAGTACTTCAGTTGGCTATTATTCGAGATGCTGAATCATAATGTGCACATACCTATAGCGAATACTCATGACAATGACATCAATGATCCAACAGCACCTTTTAATGAACTTGAACCATTCGATTCTCTTTGGCAAGCATTACGGTGGCGACATGTACGAACTCGAGTACCAGTTTCTTTCAGAAAGACTATTCGAAATCGATACATGCTTGCCAATCTTGTGTATTTGTGTTATGCAATTGCAATTTTAATTATTGATTTCAATCCAAATGTGAATGGTTCAGCTGATACCAGTACTTTGGATACATTGTGTAATGAAACACCATCGACATCAATTCTTGACCGACCAGTGCGCAATACTCCTCTTGTAAATCATCTCTTTATCGGTAAATAGAAAAAGATTGATAAATGCAGAGGGAATAACGTTTCTGAATAATCGAGATAGTGCTTTTTTCTCGAGTCCTATCAGAACAAAAATTTTTTTCCACATAGTTTTAACATTGATCACAAAGAAGTGTTCAAATAGAATATTATCTCTAGGTTTGGCGTGTATTCATATCCTTTCGGCGTTTCTTTATTGGTGGGCATGGCATGATCGAACATGGCGTGATGTTATTATGATACCAGAATATTTGAATCATTTGGAAGCTGGACTCTATCTATGGTCAGCTATTTGGTATTCAAGAGAAGATACACTTGGTGGTTATTACACATTAGCAATACATAAAATCGAATTAGCAGCAGCACTTGTAGAAATAGTGGCATCGTTTGGATGGTTAGTAAAAAGAACAAAAGTCAATTGACATACAAATCATTTAGTGCATTGCAACTGAAAATGAAATGCATGTCTGTACTAGAGAGAGAGATCGAACACAAATTTTCTGTTTTTTAGGATGATGTCATGGTACATGACCTACATACGTACACTAGGACGTGGCTTTTCTCTTGACGATCCGGATACTATCAGTTATTTATCGACTTCGATTAGTTCAATCATTTATGTTATCTACAATATACAAATTAATATTTATCCGGAACAGTACGGCACTAATCTCTTATATACATATGGAGATATTGTTTATTTTGTTGGTGCTTGCTATTATATTATAGCTGCCCTACGTGATGATCATTGGTTTTGGTTTCTCCCATTTGCTGGGCAGTACGGTGTAGCAGTCGGTAGAATTCATGTCGATACAAGATCTTTACCACAATTTGGAGTTCCGAGAGTTTTAATCACAGATCTCTGCTGTCGAAAGCGAAACGATACAACAATTAAAGTGAACAATCAACGTGAATTCGATAATGGCAATTCTATTGTAACAACTTACCTTTGATCTTGTTGTATTGAATATTGGTAATGTGATTTGTTCATAAAAATAGTGATACTTTCAACTTTGACGTTTCATTCATTAGTAAGACTTTTTGAAAGTAAAAACTGAATAAGCATATCAAGTTCAACAACTTTTTTTTGCGATTGATCTAAAAATTTTAGAATCTTGCATGGTTAACATTTTCAATGCTGATCCAATTGGATTCTCAATTGTTTGGTTTTGTTTTCAAGAATCACTGCTATTCAGTTGATTTTATATTTACTCAACATTCGCATAAGAGTAGAAAAATGCCTTGTGTTGCTGTTTTGTACAAATAAAAGAGTTCTCTAATTACAATTACCTTGTATTGTAAATAAAGGAATAATTGGCTAAAGATACCAGAAAATAACAAACAAACAAGCTCGGTGAGAAAAATCATTAAGTATGAAGTAGGAAAAGGAGAACGGAACTTCTTATTTATTTAATGAATAACAGTTGGGATGGAATATAGCAGAACAAAGAAACGTCAAAAATCAACAATTAATCTTTCGACAAAGCATATGTTGCTTTTTTGCCGATCAGCATTGGCACTTGTCGAGCTTCACATAGCATAATGAGGTAGATTGTGTCTACACAAATGAATATTCTTTTAGTCCATGTTCGCACGAACAGAAAATGAGGGAGGAGTTACATTTTCGAGTAGTCCAAAATTCGAGTTGATTAAAGTCAATATTTGGATTTATCATACGCTTATCAGTGCTCGTGTGTTGCGATCATTTCAAGAAAGTGAAACGAATGGATACAATGAACAATGCTCACTATGCTTCCTTCAACTTGTTTTGTGTACATTGTCAAAGCGTCACTTTCACGTTTCTATTTGCTTATCCGATTCGATTAGCTCGCTATGGGTGTCGGTGTGGGCGTGGGGTGTGAGTGTGGGTGTGGGTGTGGGGTGGGTGGGTGTGGGTGTGGGG